TTTTAAAAAATGCTGAAATGGTATGGGTTTAACGCCCCTATCAACTAGAGGTGGGCAAAATCCGGATAATCTACAAGGATAACCGGATAATTCTTAATGAAACTTTATCCGAATTCAGACTCTTAACTCTCTTTCCTGACCCGTTTGCCGAAGTGGGGGCACCCATTTGTTAAAGTAGTGCTAACCCATCTGTCGAATTGGTTTTAAACCATTTGTCGAAGCGGTCCATATCATATTATTGCCGAAGAGGTGCACTAACATAGTATCCGGATTTTGCTAAAGCGACTCATTGCCCAGCCCTACTATCAACACTATTAGGTTATTTAAAGGGCGGGACCTCCTGGTTTAACGTCCATCTCCGAAAAGACCGAGCCAATTGGGAAATTCGTGTAAAGTGCCTTTCCCAAGGCCACAACGTCCGACCGAGCTGAGGCTTGAACCCCCGAACCCGCAATCTCACCATTACGAGTCCGGTAAGCCTATGGGGGTCACAACAAGCGGATAGTTAGAGAACGTTTAGAGTACGGCATTGGCGATATTTATGGTAACAGCCATCTTGTTTGACCTATTCTTTAACATGCAAAAGTATATTATAATGAGCATTATCACAACACTTTGCTAAAATGAGAAAGAAAGCTTTCTTTTTTTTACTCCACATTTTTTTTCAGATCAGACAGTGAGACCGTGGGCCTGGAACTTCTTTCGTCTTTTGTCAAAATGAAGAACATTATTTTATGAACCAAACAATTGGCTGTTGCTATAAATATCCGCCAATGGCGTACTCCTAAGGTTCTCTAACTATCCACTTGTGGAGGTCACAGAGGGTCAGCAGTATGCAACAACAACAACAACAACGACCTTATGTACGACGATATCCCGCCTACCGTTAGGCCGCTTTAGATCAGATAGAAGCTAGTTGCCATTCAAAGAACACGAACAAGAACGAGAAAGAGAACGAGAACAAAAATCAGAACAAGAAGGGGGAAGGATCAGGGAGAGGGAGACCGTATGCACGAGGGTACCCCACCTACCATCATACCATCCTCCGACCACACAATCGTTCAGGCCAGAATCTCCCCTCCATTTGATGGGATTGTTGGCGGGAAGTTTGCCAGACCGCTGCGCGTCGTAGAACAAGATGGACTTGCCCAGGGCAGAAGCGTAGTTCTTGGTGGCTGTACCGCCGCCTGGGAACGGTTAGATGGGTGGTTGGTGGGTGGGGTGGGGGTGGAGGTGGGTGTGTGGATTGAAGGAGTGTGGGGGTGGGGGGTGGATTGAAGGGGGTGGGGGCGGGGTGTGGATTTAGGAGAGGGTCGGGGGAATAAACATGAAATGTGGGATTACCAAGTCATTGTGGTCTGTTTTGGAACTTCATAATTCAGCGAGAGTGTGTTTTTGAACGTTGTCTTTAACACACGGCTCAAGAATAACATATAAAATAAATAAATCCCTGCTCCATCCAGCTCATTCTTGGGTGCACACACACACACACACACACACACACACACACACACACACACACACACACATCATAAATCACACAAACAAACAGAAAAACACGACATTATGCAGCGCACGCATGCAGTCACACAAAAGCTCCCCATATGAAAGCGGTAACCGTCAATTCATCCAGTGCCAGATCTGCGACAGACATCGGCTATCATGGTTCTCCATTCATTCCTTTCCTCGTTTTCCATGATTATTCTTTTGATGTTGCAGCAGTGGTTTCCCGTTTCCTAATGCCGGTTTGAGTACAGTTTCTCTGCTAGCCTTTGTCATCCACTGACAACCCACAAGGCATTCGGGGCTTTGGTAGGATTTATGGCGCCTCTCACCGCCAAGATGGTCCCTTCTTCGAGTGTGTGAGGTATTTATTGAAACACCTGTGCCACCAAGAGTCTCCTTTACTCTCCACGACAATCTCCCATTTGGTTTGCGACTGCTTAGCAGCTTATTTCCATATCTGGAGGCCTTTCCCCCTATCCGTTAAATAGTTTTTTTTAAATATATAAAAATTAAAGAACGGAAAAAAAAGAAACAATAAATGTAATTATTTTCATGATGATGAAGATTTCCGTTTTTAAAAACACGGGCTAATTCCTTATCTGATGAATCTTTGTTTGTTTTGCTTGCTTATTACATTTTTCTTCGTTTTAACAACAGAGAGGTGTTGTTTTTTTCCATGGACAAATGTGTGT